AAAATAAAAAATGCATCCTTTATGGAAATAAAATTCCTCCACAAGGCCCGAGGTGTCCTATGAAATTTAAATAAATGAAAAAATTTTAACAAACATTTTTTCAAATTAAAATTTTTAATTTGTCAATGACTTCACAAAAAACAATACCACTGCACACTAGCTAATTTACTCCAGATTTTGGCCTTGTGCCCAGGCTTAATGGCCTTGTGCCCTAGAAAAAATATGAATAGCCAAGGCCAAAGTGGCTGTGCCCTCCTAAATCCTTATGTCTAGCCCTGCTATAGGGTGCAAGGATTTCCTGTATAAAAAGTGACAAGTAGAATTCCTTGCCGTGGTCGACTCTGACCTGATCCCACAGCCCATAGTTGACAACAGCTGACCTAGGAGATGTCAGAAATGTGTTATCATTAAATACTTGAGGACTGTTTGTTTGCCTATGATACAAAATGAGATTCAAATGTAACGTTTTCTATTGAAAACAGTAAATACATTACATATATAACAAAAGTAAAATAATCAAACCAAAACAAACCTGTAAACTTCCTCATAAATAGTCAGATTATTCTTTACCGGCATTGTTGCATAAGCTACAACTTTGCTGCTGTACCCATCTACAGCGATAACATGGGTCACCCCAAACATTGCCAGTTTTTCATTCTGATCTAAATGAACTTTATGACCCATGTATGCAGCATGATAGGGCACTGGATTGAAGTTTCGGAGACCCTGGAAAATAAATGAAACCATGTTCATAAGTGGAAATACAAAATGATGGTGTATATCATACTGTCAGTTAATGTGAAACATTGATTAAAAATCAGATGGATATTTTTCCATTGACATTCAAAACACCAGGTAAGTTCTGTTCTTTACATTAAGTTATACCTGGATCATCTAACTGGGAGTGCAGTAGAAAATAGCATATATTCTCTGAGACAAAACAGAGAAAGCAGCGTTTCAGAATTCAACACCTCCCTCGGGCCAGTAGTGGTACTGTATTTGTGCATTTGCATTATGGCATTACCTAGCTTAATAAAGGACCACCTCAGAATTAAGTAAGTTAATCTCAGTTTTATGCTTAAATCTTAATTAGTTCAGACATAGGCATACCCTAGATCTCGTTTCATGATAGGGCCTGTGAATTCCACGCAGAGCTCTTCCAACCCGATGTTCCGAAGCAAAAATTCCTTTAGACGCCAGGTAGCCAGTCATCATTTTTCTACCGAAGGTTGGTCCAGTCTTCACAAAGTTATGCAGAAAGTTAATAACCTATCCGACATGGAACTATTTGTTTTTGTTGTAACCATTGCTTACCTCTGTGATTGCTGTCGAAACATCAATTTCCAACTGTGCGTCGGATACTCCCCGCTTGAGATTCTGAGCATCACAAAACCGCCGTATACTCATCACAGAACATCCGCGTCCCATGCCAATATTTTGAAGATGTTGGGAAATATCTGCATGTGTGGCATGCCTTCTCAGCATGTCAGAAATAATCTCGGAATACGGCTCAAGTGAAACCATGATACGCATTTGAATTATCCAAAGATAAGGTGGTAAAGTTAAGTCTTTCCGGGGCAACCAGTTCCCCCTCCCATTCTGAATTTCTATATACCGTAGGAACAGGGCTGTGGAGTCGGTAGATAAATGCTCCGACTCCGACTCCTCAGTTTCTAAATCTTCCGACTCCAACTCCGACTCCTCTGTATGTATATACTATGCTAATGTATTTTCTACATCCATTGAAGGAAAGGAAGGCAACATACATGTCATTTCACCACAGAACTACTGGCTAGGAAGCCAACACTCTACTAGAAATCCACAGTAAAGACAAACACAATGAAAACAAGGATTTTGCCACCGCCCGATGTG